CACCACCCAGGATGGCAGCCTCTCTCGTCACACTCCTCTTCTCTCCCAGGCAGCTGGTGAGGCAGTGGGGCCTCTGACCGGAAACCCACCTTGTTTGTTACAACTCACATGTGCTGAAGGGAAAAAGGAAAGACGAGAAGAAAATACAAGAGGCAGGAAAGTGCTCCTGTGGGTGATGGTGGCCATTGGTCATTTTCTGGCTGCTCAGAATCCACGCTTTTCATGGGTATCACCCCAAATATCCCTCTGGATCTCATAACCCAGTCACTCACCTCCCAGGACAGAAGCAAAGGCACCAGGCTCCCCCTCTGCACCCCAGATGCAGCCAGGGTGGAAGCGTGCAGCCTGAGCTCTCCCATCTGATGCCTGCTCCCAGGACACTGACTCTGGGGCGAGCATCTCAGGGCCCACAGGGACAGCAAGAGGGCCTGCCCCACCTCTCCCTGCTCTGGCCATTGCAATGCCCTGACAGGGATATTCTGGCTCCCGTTCCTCCCTGCCCATCTCCAGGCCTGTTTCTCAGCTTCCTCCTGATTTAGGGAGGCCCTGACAAGCACCCAAGGGTGCCCTTTTCTTTCACTCGCCTCACAGCCTCCTCTTGACACTCACAAAACTCAGCCAGGTTTCTGTCCGGCCAGGGCCAACTCACTGCCAGGGCACCAGCCCTGTCCACTCCAGGCCTGTCTAAGAGGAAGCTACACCCAGCCCCAGAGGTGAAAGCATTTCACCACCCCTTGCCCAAGGACTCACTTCTAGCCCTCCCAGGACCCCCATGGAGGTGGCCACTCTCAGACACAGTGACACCCTCACGGCCAAGGTCAGAGAGCCTCTTTCAAGGATCTTCCCCTCTCTGGACCTTCCCGACAGTCCTAGTTTCTAGTCCGAGTGACAGAATCATTCCTGACTCATGGTGGGACCCTGGCAAGTTGCTCAGCGAATGAGCTCACTCACGTTGACGTTTCAATCAGCGTGTTTATCTCCCACCCACCCACCCCGCACTAACCACATTTCTTCTCCTGCCCTGAGGGTGTCTTTCCTTTCCCAGCCTCCACACCACGCATGAGTCACTTGCTGCAGAATCAGGCATCCAGGCTGCAGAGGCTCAGCATCAAGGCTCAAAAGCCTCTGGAAGGAGATGCCAATGGATGTAGGGGGCGGAGGCTCGTGTTCTCAGACAACATGCTCATCAGGGGCTGGGGCAGACAGCAGGTGGAAGGGCTGGGAAAGTCGTGTGCCCCATTTCACCCCAGCACCCCCTTCCTCTTTTCTCCTCCAGGATCACCACCAGGTAGTCATCTGGAAGCGGAGTCTCTGAGTGGCCTCTGTAGTCACCAGTGGTCACAAGCAGCCAAGGGTCACTCATTTCCCATTCAGTGTCCTGAATCGTAGCCTCACCTGACTCAGGCCATTCTCGGGGGTGGGACGTGTAGAAGGTGACAGGGCATAAGGACAAGGAAAAAGCCTTGTCCTGCCCCAGGCCATGTGGGAACCACTGTGAAATTGCCCACAGGACATAGCACCTGGACACAAAGTCAGAGTCAGCCCTACTCATCTAGGGAAACAGTGGGCTCCCTTTGGGACCAACACCCCTTTCCTGACTCTGGGAGTTGCCCAGTAGAGGATCCCACAGGAGAGGGTGGTGAACTCACGGTGCACCAGATTCACACTCACCTTGCTCAAGGCCCCTGACCCTGGAGTGAGGCTGTGCCTGTTTATCAGTGGATGGGCGGGAGCTGCAGTGAGTGCCGGGGGCCAGGTTGCTCTCTAGAGGAAAGGAAGGTTCTGGAAAGGACAGCATGGACACTGAGCCACTGTGGTCCAGGAAGCTTTTCCTGGAAACTCCCAGGTCAGAGATGTTCAAGTCTGCCCTCTAAACACCTCGAAGATGTGCCAGAGTTTCCAAGAATCATACCAATTTGTCCACCAGATGTGAGCTCCCTGTGGGTGGTTTATCTCACCGCTGGCAGCCCAGGGCCCGGCAGAGAACTGCTACTCAGTAGGTCTTCGATGATATTTGCTGAACAAACAAGTCTGCCCCCAAACAGACAGGTGGCAAGTTAGTTACTATCTGGCTTGGAGATTATGTAAGAGTTGATTGGTCACATCAAAAGTCAGAATTAAATCGATCCAGATGCCCCAGTTATAAGGACCCAATGATGTATTGGTCTGGTGATTTCCTTTATGAAAACAGCTCTAAAGCACTATTTTTCTCTCAGAGCTCACTTTAAATGTGTTCCATTTTGGATATAATTTATTTTAGGGCTCCCACTGTATCTCTGCTCTCTGAGACTTGCGATGGCTCTGGGCTAAAAGCAATATCAACTTCAGAAGGGGAAGGAGAAAGGCGCAGTGCTGCAGACCGCAGCCTCCAAAAGGGGAAAGTTTTCCAGAGACCTCAGGTGGCAGCTGCGGCAAAGTTGCCTTCCTTCTGGGGGCCATCTCAGGCCACCTTTCATCCAAGGAAGAAAACATTTTTGCACAAAAACAACCACAACCACAAAGCCAGAAGTTGCTGAGTGCGTGGATCAGTCAGACTGCCCTGGCAATAATAAGTAACATTTGAATAATGCTTGAGGAAAGTTTCCCAGCGGCTGAGTGGAGGCCCTGGGTTCCCTGTGCATTTGCAGGCCATTGGTCCTGGCCCCAGGGCTGCTCATGGAAGATGGAGGAGCATGCAAATGGCCTTTAAGTGATCATTGCTGTTCGCTTGTGTTCCTCTGTATCAGAAAAAATATTCTAGCACAGTAAACCTGTGATTTCACCAACATTATTTTTCAGGATGAAGATAATGGAGAAACTGGCTATTTGAATGAACTGAAACAAGTAAGTAAATAATAGTACCTGTGGTACCGGGGTATGGCGAAAATCCTGAGTGTATCATGTGAATGACTGAAGTTTGGGAGGTGTGGCTTTTTGTCACATTGCCCTGGTCCTCAGCATGAAGCACACACGCTCTGAGCTCCCCACTCCTGCCTTCTGTGATCAATGTTTCTGAAGCCGTGGGCAGCCAGAAATCAGAGTAAATAAATATTTAGGATGGAATGTGGAGGGAGGGTGTGGTGAGGATGGTTTTTGGTCTCAATAACACATTTTTCTTTGGTCTCATCTATAAAGTAGAAGGTCACTAATCCATGAATTACAGATCAAAAGGAAACTTTGACACCATGTGGTGAAATCAAGCCCTCTCACCCTATTTCACAGACGAGGAAACTGAGTCCCAAAGGAGAAAGGGACTTGCCTAAAATTATACACCAAGTGAGAACTGGCCCTAGAAAGCAATTTTCACGTCAAAGACAACAGCCTAAATTCCTGGACATGTAACACATGCCTACAAATCAGGAAAGACCCAGTCCAAAAACGGGCTAAGGATTTCAGAGAAAATACAAACATCATTTAAATATCAGAAAAGATGCTCAACTCCAGGCATAATAGACATGCACATTGAAACTATATTAACACATCTGCTTCTAACTATGATGGACTAGCCTGCATTAATCACCCTGCTGGGAACAATTTGGAAGGCTGGATGAAACACTACAAAAACAGCTGCTTGAAAATACTGGAGAGGTACCAAGGCTCCAGGATCCCAGAGAGGAGGGAAGCTCACAGAGGGGAGCCTACCGTTCAGCAGAGCTCTATCCCCTGCAGCATTTGCCACTTCTGAGCAGTGCCTGAGAGGCTGAGAAGCACTTTAGCCATCTCATGGGGCTGGGGAGACAAAATTGGAGTCCAGGGCCTCTTAAAAAAATAAGGACCCTATCTACATCCCAATGTTCAGAACAGTTAGCTTAATGGCAGAAGCAACCCAAGCGCCCATCAACAGATGAAAGGATAAACAAAATGTGGCATGTGCACCCAGTGGAACATTACTCAGCTTTAAAAAGGAAGGAAATTCTGACACATGGTACAATGTGGATGCACCTAGACAACATTATGCTAAGTGAAGTAAGCCACTTGCATGAAGACAAATACGGTGTGATTCCACTTATGTGGGATACTCGGAGTAATCAACTTCATAGAGACAGAAAGTGGAATGGTGGTTGCCGGGGGCTTGGAGGAGGTGGAATTAGGAGTTGGTGTTGAATAGGTGGAGTTTCAACTGGGGACAATGGTAAGAGTTCTGGAGACGGATGGTGCTGATGGCTGTGTAATAATGGGAATATACTTAATGCACTGAGATGCACACTTAAACAGGGGTAAGACAGTAAATCTCATGTGAAGTGTATTTCAAAACCGTTTTTCAAAAAGCAAGAACATTGGTAAATAGCAAAGGGCTATACAGGGACTGAAGGCCTGTTTCAAATCATCTTAATTTCTGATTGGATGAATGCAATTTAAGATTGATGGTGCCCCTAGCTTAGCAGAAGTTAAAGTAAATCCTCCCTGGAGGAAGATGACAGCATCCAGAGCCTCAAATTACACATTCCATATTCATTTATTATGTCTGATAGTCAATGAAAAACGGAAATGCAGAAATACAAGAACGGGATGAAAATCAAGAGAAAAATAACACATTACAAAGATATCCACGTGGTTTCAGATATTCGAGGTACCAGAGCTGGCCTTTGAAATAACTGTAATTAATATATTCAAGAAGCTAGATGACAAGGAGAGGCCGGGCGTGGTGGCTGACACCTATAATCCCAGCACTTTGGGAGGCCAAGGCGGGTGGATCACCAGGTCAAGAGATCGAGACCATACTGATCAACATGGTGAAACCCCGTCTCTACTAAAAATACAAAAAATTAGCTGGGCATGGTGGCGTGCGCCTGTAATTCCAGCTACTTGGGAGGCTGAGGCACGAGAATTGCTCGAACCCAGGAGGCGGAGGTTGCGGTGAGCAGAGATCGCGCCATTGCACTCCAGCCTGGGTAACAAGAGCGAAACTCAGTCTCAGAAAACAAAAAAACAAAACAAAACCAAAAAAAGACAAGGAGAATTCCAGCAGAGAACTGGAAACTATTGAAAAAAAAAGAAAGAATCGGCTCCGCTCCCTGCCTCCGTGCCGCAGCCCCCGCCGCCGCCACCGAGCCCGGCGCCACCGCCTCGGAGCAGAAGATGGCTGTGCCACCCACGTATGCCCATCTCGGCAAATCTGCCAGGGATGTCTTCACCAGGGGCTATGGATTTGGCTTAATGAAGCTTGATTTGAAAACAAAATCTGAGAATGGATCGGAATTTATAAGCTCAGGCTCATCCAACACTGAGACCACCAAAGTGACAGGTAGCCTGGAAACCAAGTACAGATGGACTGAGTACGGCCTGACGTTTACAGAGAAATGGAACATCGACAATACACCAGGCACCAGGCACCAGGCACCGAGATTACCTTGGAAGATTAGCTTGCACGTGGACTGAAGCCTGACTTTCCATTCATCCTTCTCACCTAATACTGGGGGGAAAAAATGCTAAAATCAAGACAGGGTACAAGCAGGAGCACATTAACCTGGGCTGTGACATGGATTTCGACATTGCTGGGCTTTCCATCTGGGGTGCTCTGGTGCTGGGTTATGAGGGCTGCCTGGCTGGCTACCAGATGAATTTTGAGACTGCAAAGTCTGGAGTGACCCAGAGCAACTTTGCGGTTGGCTACAAGACTGATGAATTCCAGCTTCATACTAATGTGAATGACGGGACAGAGTTTGGCGACTCCATTTACCAGAAGGTGAGCAAGAAGTTGGAGACCACTGTCAGTCTCACCTGGACAGCAGGAATCAGTAACAGGTGCTTCGGAATAGCAAGCAAGTATCAGATTGACCCTGACGCCTGCCTCTCGGCTAAAGTGAACAACTCCAGCCTGACAGGTTTAGGATACACTCAGACTCTAAAGCCAGGTATCAAACTGACACTGTCAGCTCTTCTGGATGGCAAGAACGTCAATGCTGGTGGCCACAAGCTTGGTCCAGGACTGGAATTTCAAGCATAAATGAATACTGTGCAATTGTTTAATTTTAAACTATTTTGCAGCATAGCTACCTTCAGAATTTAGTGTATCTTTTAATGTTGTATGTCTGGGATGCAAGTATCGCTAAATATGTTAGACCTCCAGGTTAAAGATGATTCAGCTTTAAGATGTTACCCTTTCGGAGGTACAGAAGAAACCCATTTCCGAAAAAGTCCTTTCAGTGGTAGACTTGGGGGGAACTTGGGAGCCCCTTTGAGATGCCAGGTTTCTTTTTTATCTAGAAATGGCTGCAAGTGGAAGCTGATAATATGTAGGCACTTTGTAAATTCATATTGAGTAAATGAATGAAATTGTGATTTCCTGAGAATCGGACCTTGGTTTCCCAACCCCAGTGTATGAGAGGCTCGCTGCTTGGTGGTGTGTACAAACTCACTTGAATGGGACTTTTTAAGATAGCTCTTCATGACCTTCCCACCCCAGTTCAGCGTCACCTCTTTTACACCAAAAGGTCTGTAGGGTGTGGTCACTGTTTCTTTTGTGCCATTTTGGGGTGGAGAGGGTGGATGTGATGAAGCCAATAATTCAGGACTTATTCCTTCTTGTGTTGTTTTTTTGCCCTTGCACCAGAGTATGAAATAGCTTCCAGGAGCTCCAGCTATAAGCTCGGAAGAGTCTGTGTGATTGTAATCACATGGTGACAACACTCAGACTCTAAATTGGACTTCTGTTGTATTCTCACCACTCAATTTGATTTTTTTAGCAGTTCAATGGGTACATTTTAGAGTCTTCCATTTTGTGTGGAATTAGATCCTCCCCTTCAAATGCTGTAATGAACATCCCTTAAATGAAACTTGAAAAAAACATTGAAACCTCAAAAAAAAAAAAAAAAAAACAAATGGAAATTCTAAAAATAAAAAAGGGGGTGATAAATTTGACAGAAGATGTGTAAGATCTGCATAGGTAAAACTCAAAACATTGCTGAGAGAAATTAAAGGAAATATAAATAGAGAAATACATTGCATTCATGAATTGGAAGATTCAATGTGGTTAAGATGTTGATTCTCCCCAAACTGCTCTATAAATTCAAGGCAAGACTTTTTTTTGTCGGGGGTAGAGATTCACAAGCTCGTTCTAAACTCTCTATGGAACAATCTAGAATAGTCAAACATTTTGAAAAGAAAAGAATAAGGTGGAGAATTTACACTGCCTTATTTCAAGACATTAATAAAGCTGCAATAGTCAAGACAGTATGGCATTGGTATAAACATCTACATCAATAAACAGAAGAATGATTCAAGAAACTGACCACAGCTGTTGATTTTTGGAAAAGGTATCAAGGCAATGAATGAAGAAAGGATATTCTTTCAGCAACTGATGCCAGAACGCTTGGTTAAACACATGCAAAAATCAAAATAAAAATTAAAAGAAATATTGACCTTATCTCACACCATATACAAACTTAAATGGTCTACGATCCTTGAAGCTAGGATTTATGATCCTTATAAAATAGACCTAAGAAATTAGGTGTATGGTCCTTGAAATGCATCACAGACCAAAATGTAAAAGTAAAACTATAAAATTTCAAGAAGAAAATCTTAGCAATCTTGGGTTTGGTAAAGATTTCTTAAATACGACAAAAACAATGACCTATACAAGAAAAATAATAAATTGTACTTCACTAAGCTTAAAATATTTACCCTTTAAAAGACACTATTCTGTTCAGCAGTTTCTTAAATATATACTTGTTATATGACTTAGCAATTCTCCTAGAAGGAAAGATGTGTTCACACGAAGACTTATGTGTGATTGCCAGTGACAGCATTAATTATAATAGTCAAAAATGAAACAATTCAAGAGTCCATCAAATGGTAAATTCAGAAGCAAAATATGGTATATCCACACAATGGAATACTACTCAACAATGAATTGAGTTATTGATAGATGCGACAAGATATAGATGAATCTCAGAAACATTATGCAAAGTGAAAGAAGCCAGACACAAAAGGATATATATCTTTTTAGAGACAAGGTCTCACTCTGTTGCCCAGGCTGAAGTGCAATAGCTCACAATAACCTTGAACTCCTGGGCTTAAGTGATCCTCCCATCTCGGCTTCCCAAATAGCTAGGACTACAGGCATGCCCCACCATGCCCGGCTAATTTTTCAAATTTTTTGTAAAGACAAAAATCTCACTATGTTGCCCAGGCTGGTCTCAAACTCCTGCCTCAAGTGATCCTCTTGCTTTGGCCTCCTGAGTCCCTGAAATGACAGGTGTGAGCCACCACACTTGGCCTGTATGTTTATATATATATGAAGTTTCTAGAAAAGGCAAAACTATAGATCTAATAAGAGTATCAGTGAGTGCCTGGGGCCCATGTTGAGAGTGAGGAATGACTATAAACAGGCACAGAGGAACTTTTGGAGGTGGGGAAATTGTTCTAAAATGGGATTGTAGTAATAAGTGAACAACCAAATTATTTACTAAAAATCATTGACCTGCACACTTACAATGGGTGATTCGTATGATGTGTAAATTAGACTTCAGTAAAATAGTTAAAAGTGGGAGGAAAAGACAGTGTTAAAAAATTAAAAGGCAAACCACAAACGTTTTGCAAAATGTTTATCCAACAAAGAACTTGTGTCTAGAATGGATTAAAACTATTACAGCTCAATAAGAAGAAAACAACCCAATTTGTTAAATGGGCAAAATATTTGTTCAGACACTTCACCATAGAAGATAAATCGTCAGATAAATGCATGAAAGGGCATCCAACAACATTCATCATTAGAGAAATGCCAATTAAATAACCACAATGAGATTCTACCACCTATCCACTAGAATGACTAATACTAAAAACATTGATTATATCAAGTGTTGGTGAGGATGTGGAGCAACTAGAATTCTCACACAAAAGTCATCCATGAGAGTTCATAATAACGTCATTGTTAGAGCTGACATCTGTGAAAATCCAGAGGCTCAACATCATCAGGCAGTGATAAGATTGCAGCATGCCATGCAAGAGAATACAACTCAGCAACAAAAAGGAAGGAACTGTTGATATAACAGCATGGGTGATGCATACTGATGCAACATATGGGTGAATCTCAAAATGATTATGCTGAGCTAAAAACAAGCCAGACCAAAAATAAATACCTACTGTATGATTCCATTTATATAAAATTCTAGAGAATGCAAATGAATGTATAGTGATAAAAAGTAGATCAGTTGTTGTCTAGGGAGAGAGGACAGGGAGGGACAAATTAAGGACATGAAGAAACTTATTCATTATGGCAGTGGTTTCACAGGTGAATGCATATGTCAAATCTCATCAAAGTGCATACTTTAAATATGTGCAGTTTTTGTCCATCAATTATGATTTAATAAAGCTGTATAAAATGGAAAACATAACATTAAACACAATAACTAGGTGTTATTATGTTTAATAACATTAAAAGTTTTAATGTTTAATGTTTTAATACACTAAAGTTTTAACATTTAATGTTTTAATAATCTTAAAAGTAAGAACTAGGCTAGGTGCAGTGGCTCACTCCTGTAATCCTAGCACTTTGGGAGGCCAAGGCAGGTGGATCACGAGGTCAAGAGATTGAGACCATCCTGGCCAACATGGTGAAACCCCATCTCTACTAAAACTACAAAAATTAGCTGGGCATGGTAGCACATGCCTGTAGTCCCAGCTACTCAAGAGGCTGAGGTAGGAGAATTGCTTGAACCTGGGAGGTGGAGGTTGCACTGCACTCTAGCCTGGCGATAGATCGAGACTCCATCTCAAAAACACAGTAAGAACTAAATAATGGGTTTAGAAACCATGAAGTTCCCTTGTAGGACAGATCAGAAAGAAATATCTTAGATTGCATCAGAAAATACAGAATGGAAAATACATAAAATAATTAGAAATAGGCCAGGCATAGTGGTTCATGCCTGTAACCCCAGTGCTTTGGGAGGCCCAGGTGGGAGGATCACTTGAGGCAAGGAGTTCAAGACCAACCAGCATGAGCAACATAGTGAGACCTCATCTCTACAAAAAGTCAAAAACTTGGCCAGGTACATGGTGTTGTGTACCTACAATCCCAGCTACTAGGAGGCTGAGGTGGAAGGATCCCTCAAGCCCAGAAGTTCGAGGCTGCATTGAGCTCTAATTGTGACATTGCATTCCAGCCTAGGTGACAGAGTGACATCCTGCCCTCCTCCCCCAGAAAAAGAAGAAGAACAATGAGTCTGGTAAAAGGGCTAACATGATATGTAATTGGAATCCAGGAAGGGAAGGAAAGAGAAGACAGGAGAGGAAGAGAAGACATGATAAAAATATTAGAAAAGTCAGGGGCTAAGAATTTTCCTAAAAGCATATATAAGATAACATGTGTCAGGCACAGTGGCTCACACCTGTAATCCTAGCCCTTTGAGAGGCCAAGGTGAGCTGATTGCCTGAGCTCAGGAGTTCAAGACTAGCCTAGGCAACATGGCAGAACGTCGTCTCTACTAAAATAAAATACAAAAAATTAGCCAGGTGTGGTTGTGCACACCTGTAATCCCAGCTACTCTAGAGGCTGAGGCACGAGAATCACTTGAACCAGGGAGGTGAAGGTTGCAGTGAGCTAAGATTGTGCCACTGCACTCCAGCCTGAGCAAAAGAGCAAGACTCTGTCTCAAAAAATAAGAAGATAACATGCCACAAATTCAAGCAGAGCTAGAAAACCACACCTAGACGTGTCAATTTAAAACTACTGAAAATCAAAGACAAAGGGAAAATCTAAAAGCAACCAGAGATAAAATGCCAATTGCTTCCAAAAGACAGCAATAAAACTGATAATTGATTTCTCAACAGAAGTAATGAGATCAAGAAAACATTGGACTAGATAGCTTGAAAACACTGGAAGAAAAGAACTTCCAAACTTAAATTTTACTGAAAATATTCTTCAAATAATAAAAAGATACTTCCAGCAAGCAGAACCCGAGATCATTTATTACTAACAGATGCATACTGAAACCAATACAAGGAGGACTTTTTCAGGCAGAAAGAAAATAACCTCAGTTGGAAATATCAAGTTGCAAGAAGGAAAGAAAAAAAACAAAAATGTTAATATCAGGATAAATAAAATTATTATTGACTATATAAAAAAATAAAAATGTATTTTAGGGTTTAAAATGCAATGAAAATACAAAATGACAACAGCATAAAGAGTGGGAGATGAATAAATAAAATGAAGTGTTCTAAGGTTCTCATGACTCTGGGAAGTTATACAATTATTAATTTACACTCAACTTGAGTAAGTCAAATGAAATTTTAGACTGATTGCCAAAGCTAATAAGCTAACAGGCAAAGAAAACGGAATAAAA